TTTCCTCCATCCCTACAGCACTCCAGCTCTTAGACCTACCTCCAGATGACGACCAGGTCCTCGGTATCTTTCGGAATGCCGCTTCTGGATGGGATAACCGCGACAGAATTGACGATAACCTGGAAGTCACACAAGCAGATTGGCGAGCCGTTTGTACGATCTTGCTCGAACCGAGATCAGGTGCAGGCGACGATAGTATCGAAGTTGAGAACCAAATGCGGCCAGGAGACCTCGAAGAAGACGATGAATACGTTCAAGATCTCTCTGAAGCGGACCTTGATCTGCAATCTGACGCCGGAGCTGATTCGGACGATAATTACAATCCTAGGCCTTCGTCTGCATCAAAGTCCAAGACTAAGTCTTCTCGGCGACCTGCTCGCACTGAACTTGTAGGTTCTATGTCAGGTGGTCAACGACGCACACGCGTTAGTCGTCTCAGGAGTGATGGATCAGATTTTGATCCATCTGATGCTGAAGAAGAAGGGAGTAGCTCAGGCACAGGGCGTCTGACTTCTCGTCAAAAAGCAACTTGTATAGAAGCCTTTGGAATGTTCTTCCCAGATGCCAAAGATGATCTTAGGCAACGTAGGCTGATGCTTTCCGATATACAGAGGGTGACAAAGCTGCTCGGAGAGAAACTGAAAGCGGAGGAGGTACCCTACTTCTCTCAATGGTCATTTCGAACCCTGTATGCTGATTCAGATACCCCCTTGCGGGATTGCAGATGCTAGAGATGTTGGAAGTGTTTTCAACTGCACCAGATAGATCGATGGGTCTGCAGGATTTCGAGAGGATGATGATTGCGGCCAAATTAGCATAGATTGTCGTTACTGCACTGGTAGGTAAATAATTTGTGGTGACACTAATTAGCCATATTCCACAAAGTGTACACTTTCCTTTCATCTATTTTGAACCCACCTTGATGTTTCGCAAGAAAACCTTCTGCTTGCTGTCCTTTTCCAGATTACTTCAAGCAAAAGCAAAAAAAAAATCAAGACCCAAAAGACGAAGTGAAAATGCTCAATTAGTGACCACCGCAGGGGTCGAACCTGCAATCTCCTGATAACAACTCGTAGTCAGACGCGATGCCATTTCGCCAGGCGGCCTGTGTGCAAGTTTGGATGGTAGGGGATGTAAGAAGTTGCGCTCAAATATTAGTATATTGGTCATACATATCAGTCTAATTATAGGATTGACGTTTGACCTTTGGCCAAGTGACACTGATTTCCAGGTGTTTTACACCGTAAGAGATATCATTTGTTACCCAGGTATATGCGAGTTGTGCAAATGTGCAAATGTGTACGAAGGATGAATTTGTTGATAACGGATGATATGATAAAATTGATACGATGAATCGATGACTCGGATAAGCTAATGAGCGATATATTGGAATATATAATATTTCGACCACGGCTGTTCTCCGTGTTGCTTTGACGGTGAACAGCTGTAGCAACCAAAGGGATTTCACGAGGCTGGGTCAAGCTGTACTTTGAGCGGGGGACCCGGGAGCTGGAGGCGGTGAAGGATATTACCCGAACATATAATACATATTTAATGAAAACATCGCACAACGACGAGAGGTTTGATCACTGCCAGCTGGCTGATCAAAAAGTGATAAATACTATGAGTTCTTTTTCTGTACCACCACCACCACCACCACCACCACCACCACCTTCGGGTATCCAGTTTTTTTCTTCTTCCAACGCGGGAACGAACCCAGGACTTCCACCACCACCACTATTAGTGACACCCGACGGAGGAAGCGCGCCTCACTTAGAAGATCCATTGGCAGCACCAATACCACAAAAGGTGGATCCTGACATCCCTGCGAATGTGAGTGGGGCCTTTGAATATGTATGAGAGAGTTGGCGGCTGAGTTTCGCATAGATGGCTAGGAATTTAGACGAACAATTAAGAGGTAGATATAATAATAATAATGGAGGGTACAATCCTGGTGGCTTTAGTATCCCTCATCCATCCAGATCGCCTCAACCACCGGGAGGAGGACAACAACAATGGTCAACTTGGTCGCCTGCGTTGCCTACACCACCTCATCCATCGTTGTCTCCTGCGCCGACCTTGCCTTATCCCAATCCAAATCCAAATTCGAATCTGGGTTTCAACCCGCCTGAGAGTTATTACAGTCCAGTACATCAAGCCCATCGAGCGGTATCACCTTCACCGACGATTTCACAACACATCACTCATCCTACAAACACACATGAACCGACATCGACCTCGCTCACAGCTCCTCTACCTACAATTCCCGCTCTCCAGTCCGCGATGAGCACCATTCAGTTACCGAAGCACGATCCAGCGCTCAAGGTAGCTTGGGCGAGGGATGTGATGTTCCTCGTCGAGAGGGCACATGCGATGGCCACTAATTCACCCATAGGCGATCCACCGAATGGTCCAGTGGAGATACACGACGGAGCTTTATTGAAACTCGCACAAGTCGCAGTGCCAATGATCCTCGACATCGCATCCACGTTCTCAACCACGACTACACCGACAGCTCCTCATGTATCCGAAGCCCTCTTCCACCGCGCCTCTCTCCTCGCCTCTGGTTCCTTCCCCGAATTCGCCCAGCGCAATCCCCGTCAGGCGTTCAGGGACTACGAAAGTGCCGCACGGGCAGGATACGGACAGGCATGGTTCCGGATTGGAAGAGACTACGAGTCCTTTGGTGATCTCGTGCATGCAAAGGAGTGTTTTCAGAGAGGGGTAAGGCTAGGAGTAGGAGCGTGTTTGTATAGGATGGCTATGGCGCAGTTGCTTGGCCAGTTAGGGTTCAGTGTTGATGTCGATGGGGGGTTGGGAGTGTTGAAGAGGGCTGCGGTGGGGTCGACGGTTGAGACGCCTCAGCCGGCGTATGTATATGCGTTGGTGTTGCTTGGAGAATTTAGTCAGATTAAGGTACCGGAGGATGTGTTTTTTAGGTTGGGGTTGGTTAGTTCTGAGTATGCTCATATGGGAAGTCAAGGGTATGTTGTTGTTGTTTTTTTAATAATACGTTTTTCTCATTGTTACCAGGTTACTGCTTGAAGCGAAAACCCACTTGACGCATTCCGCCTATCTACATTTTTCACCGGCGCAGTACAAACTAGGACATGCATACGAATTTGCGACGCCGCCGTTCGAGTTTGATGCGTTGTTAAGTGTCGAGTGGTATTCGAGAGCGAGTCAACAGGGAGAGACCGAGGCTGATATGGCTCTTTCAAAATGGTTTTTATGTGGCAGTCGAGTTGGCGGTCCAGGTAAACTATCTTCCCCCTTTTTTTACTTCTCATTATGAATCTTAAATTCCAGCTGGAGCAAACACTGATCCTTCACTCGGAGGATTCGACAAGGACGAACAGCTCGCGAAGATCTTTGCTGAAAAAGCTGCACGGAAAGGTTTACCCAGCGCCGAGTTTGCAATGGGGTATTATTGTGAGGTGGGTATAGGAGGAGGGAAAGACTTGGAAGAAGCAAAAGGGTGGTATCAAAAGGTGAGAGAAAGGGAGCAATCAATTTCGTTATCAAGTACTGAGTTGTTCGTGTGCTCCCCCTAGGCCCAAATACACGGAAACACAGACGCCATTGACCGTCTCGCTGCACTTGAAAAACCAAGTCCGCAGATGCTTTCGAGGGAAGAACATGATACGATTACGGAGAGCAAGTTAGTGAGGACGAGGACTCAGGCGAAGCAGAGGAGTGAGGCGCAGAAGGTTAGGGATGGGTATTTGGCTGGGCAAGGACAGCAGGTGAACCAGAATCAAGGTGGTCAGCAACAGGGAGGTCTGCAGCAGCAGGCTCCGGGGTATCCGGGGCCTGGAGGGCCGAGTCAAGTATTAGGAGGATTTGGGGGAGGTATGCCACCCCCCGGCGGACAAGGAGCCCAAGGTGGAAGAGGGAACAGACGAGATTCAAGACCCGTAGTCGAGTTGATTAGGAAGAATACTTTGGGTAGTTACCAACAACAACCGCAAGGTGGACATGGGAGGTATCATACTGACCAAGGTCCTGGTCCTACGTATCCGGGACAGCTGGCACACGCGAGTACGTTACCTCCTCAGGGAACTCATGGACAGGGACCGCAGGGAATGAGAGTAGGCCCAGGCGGAGGAAGTGTAGGCGTAGGTCCAGGAGGAGTAGGACCTGGCGTTGGTCTAAGACCCGAAGCGACAAGACAACAATCCCAATCCCAGTCGTACCCCAACGCCAATAGGTATACCCTCGTTGATCCTGGCTCTGGCTCGGCACCCCCGCGTACAGAAGGGGTTGGGAATGTTAATAATGGTCAGAGACCTGACTCGAGGTCGCCTTCTCGTGCTGGAGGAGGAGGGAGGCCACCGCCGAGGCGAGGACCGAGTGGGGGGGTACAGGTTTCTGGAGGGGTTTCAGGGGCGGGCACGGGGACGGGGACGGGGTCGAGGCCTGAATCGCCTGCTACTGGTTTAGGTGCCCCGGGAGCACAGGGAGCACAGAAATCAGCTGGTCCCCAAACGTTTGCTGAGATGGGAATCACAGGTGCGAAGGCTGAGGATGAGAAGTGTGTGATTATGTAGTAGTTGGTGGGAGGGAAAAAGTACAATCCTAGTCCGAATTCGAGATTTTAGCTTTTTTTTTTCTGTGACACGATACGAACTATGGGTTGCCTAGTTGCCTTGTTACACTTGTATGTCTTTAAATATACATAATGTTGGACTATTGGACTTATTGATGTGTGTACTGGTGGCTGCTGCTTCTGACCTTTTTTATAGTATGGTTTACTATACCAAATTCCGTATTTGAACTCTGTTATTACAACGAAGGGTAACATTAAGTTAAAGCTTGTGGTCACAGTAGACCGTAGAGACCATTGACTAGGTACGTGAAGGAGGTTGGGTAAGAATCACAAGCTCAAGGGGGAAAGCCAGCTTGAGCGTAACCTTTCTTCCATCTCTTTGTCAATTGTTTCCAAAAAAAAAGATTAAAATAAACAAAATAAAATAAAACAGACAATGAGAAATATGTTATACACCGTTCGGGAATCGAACCCGAGCCGCTTGCTTCATTATTGAACAATGGAAGGCAAGCATGATAACCACTTCACCAACGGTGTTTCTGATCATTTCTATGTGGTCATATAGAGTAGTTACTTACATAAGTCATTTGCCATGGATTAAATAAAATTGGTTATTCAAAGTCAATCCTATCAAATTTCATGATTTCCCTTGATATTAATCATACATAAAATATCTTGCTGTGGCCGCCTGGCGAAATGGCATCGCGTCTGACTACGAATAGTTATCAGGAGATTGCAGGTTCGACCCCTGCGGTGGTCACTGATACCATCAGCGAATTTTTTCTTTTGCTGGCCGGGCTGGTTTTGAAGCAACATGAAAGGCAAGCATGATGAAATATATGGAACCCGATAATCAAAGCACATCTCTCTCTTGAAAACAAACTGGATAGATTTATTTATGCGAGTTTCCCCAGCTATGATTGCAATTTTACAGCGGTTTTCGAATTACTACATTATTCGACAGGGTCAGTCAAGCCTTTAAGTAATTTAAAACTTTTAGGTCTTAGGGGCAGAAAGTAATAGTGAAAGCGATATTTCCAGCGCCGCAAGCACGAACGGGGGAGTCGTCACCGCAACCGGTTGTGTCCTGTTATGAAGCCAAAGAAAGAGTACGATAGTGAGCAGAAGAGACTTGAGTAATTGAAACGACTTACGCCAACGGGATAAGCTTCGTCGCACTAGGAAGTAAAGAGGAAAGAGAGGTTAGCGCACTAGATAAGGGGAAAGTATATTGTATACACTCACACCACAGTTCACATTCGTACAAGTGACCGTGTCACATCCTGCAGCAGCGATTTGGATGGATTGGGTGAATCCTTGGATGTTAGAAATGTCGTATGCTTGGGGGGTGTAGAAGTCGCCGGTGTCTGATAGCGTACATAGAAGTTCAAAATGACGAGGGAGTTGAATGACGATTCAATGATTAAGAAGAGGTAAAAGATAAAGTATTTTATTAACGCGAAGGTATAATAAGGACGGGAGTGAGATACGTACCCAGGTTGAATTCAGTTATCGTACAGTCTTCACCGCTAGCACCGCATGCACCGTCTTGGGCAAAGATACGACCGACCCACTGTATGGTCCCGGATTGAGGAGATAGACGTGCGAGCGTGTAAGAGTGAGTAAGGAAATCTTTTTGAGCGATGTGAATGGACTCCACGTACGTCAACAGGGATGGTAATTGTCTCGCTGGCTCCGGCACCGAGAACACCAGGTTGAGCGGCAGCTATTCATTCAATTATGCCCAGTCAAGAGAGGATGGGGAGAAGAGGAGTGGATCAGAAGGGACGTGAAGGATTTCCAAGTCGTCGTACTCACTGTAGTAACCAGCGCCGGAGCAGCCTAGAAGGGCATACCGATGGGAGGTCAGGTAATGATGGTATTTGGAGCACTTGGAATGACAATGCACGCACGAGGACTGTAGCCGCAAGCGGTGTTCGCGACAATGGGAGTAATGGACGAGCCACATTTATTGACGAGGGTGAACTGGAGAGGGGCGGACGGAAGGGGGTGCGTTAAGATTCCAATTGAGGGAAGGAGGGAAAGAGAGGGAAGCTCACCGCATGTTGCGCAGAGACCAAGGTCGAGGCAGAAGCCAGAGCAGAGAGAATGAGAGAGAGCTTCATCATTGTGTCAATTGACGAGTTATTGTCCAAGGCAAAAGGCTTTTTGTAACTTGCAGGTCTCGAAGAATGACAACTGAAGAAAGAAGATAGATATCCCTTCATTTTTATACCGCGTCTTAGATAACTTATTCCCTGTATTGTACTGGCCACGGAATAACAAAACGTTCAATTCCAAATTCGATTTGAGAGCCACCGCAGTGCTGTCGAGCACAACGGAACAAAACCATACGGCTCCTTCGATGGACTATAGCACTATAACATATGAGAACACATGCTACAGTCTTACCGTACCACTCGGAAAACCCGGTGTAATATACTTTTTTTCACCTGGATTCTTGCCTATTCATGGTTTACTCAGTACAGTATGGGCAGCTAATTACTTACCGAGTTAAATGATGAGTGTTGTCTATTTGTGTAGATTGATCAAATGACAAAGACGTCAGAAACGAAGCGAAAACGAGTATTGACCGGGTCCGGAGATTGTGTGCTATAACCATTGTGTAGCCTTACGAAGTAGTTGACCCCAAGTCGACATTCCGAGTTGGATGGACCTCGACTTTCGGGTTATGGAATCAATCGTGATTGACAGCGGCGGTGTTGAGTTGAACGGTGCCGGTGAAATTTGATGTGCTTTTAATGCGATTTTTATGATTTGGTGATCTGGTGTTGCAGATGTCAACTCTAGTAAGTCTAGTAATGATGAGGCCATGATTGTTTCAAAGTTGGGAGCTTACTAGCCACTCATGTGGTGTCTACATAGTAGACGGCAAAGAATCAAGGGAATTGAGATTCGAAACGAGAGGAGTTAAGGTCTCGGGCAAAAGCAAGCTACGAATGGAGAGGGAGGAAGTTAAAATGGAGCCTGTAGTAATGAGCATGCTGTTAAGCCTTAAGCTGCCGCTGTTCTGGTAAGAGAATCGTTCACAGAACCACTTCTATCAGATGCAGATCAGCAACTAGCTCTGAAAGATTGTAGGAGGCTGACCTTTGTCTCCGTCACGCATCAATGAAGCAGATGTACTCTATGGCACCGGTGACTGAACACCGTCGTGGAGAGCTGTAAGAGGCTAGACTGGTTAATTGAGCATGGTCCGAGGTTCAGCAAGTTAAAGTGAATTTCGGGAGTAACAGTCGAAGCATATGCAAACCAGTCACCACAGGCTAGACTGATTTAAAGGTGATTGATGTATATTAGCACCAGGACAGTGAGAAAGAGAAGGCGACGAAAGCATTCTCTCGCCGTACATCAAGTGAAAAGCTCGAAGGCCGATCCAGCAGGTCAAGAATCGGCGTAGTTGAAGCACACTATTCGTAATCTGATAGGGGCATTTAACTGGCCGAAAATGATCATGCCCGACGAGCACATGATATTGATACAAACATTGTCTACAAGCTAAGGCTTCATTTTGATGTTGCTCACGATTAAACTCTGAAAACAAAGGGATATGTGAGATTCGGCGTCTGGCGAAGGAAGTTCGTAGAATAAACCTTGTAGCTCTGGACATCTCCTTTGAATTTGCTGACTGTCTCATTGACACATACCCATAGCTGTGTCAATGTTAGAGATGAGAAATAATACTGGGTCTATGTATTGTGGTTGCTTACCTCTTTAGCGACATTAGTGATAAATCTTTCGTCGTGCGATATGATGATGACACCTCCAGTCCATGAGTTCAATGCTTCCATGAGAGCGTCTAAACCCTGCTCTTCATGTTATAAGAAGCATCGCAAACTAGCATCGGAGGTTTTACCTCTATATCCAGATGATTGGTAGGCTAGGTTGATGGTTAACTACGATAACGATCGACCTAGCGAATAACATACTTCGTCCAGGAGTAAAACGTGTGGTCTTTGAAGCGAAAGTACTGCGAAAGCGACTCGAGACTTCTGTCCCCCACTCAACGTACCAATCAATTGAAGGCTAAGGACATATCTTGATTAGGGACGCTCGTTACTCGAAATGTTTCAGAAATAGACTAACCCTGTCATACCGCTGATTTGAAAATTACCAAGATGTTGACGATACTCCTGCTCAGTCTTTCCAGGAAACTTGGAAGCCAGGAATTGAACGGGTGTCATTGTTGGTATGAGTGAGTCGACGTGATGTTGGGCAAAGTATCCTCTAGAATATTACAAGTCAGCTCACTAAACCCTGGACGAATTCCCGCAAACTTACACTCGCAATCGCCCATTTCGATTCACCTGTCCACCCAAAGGATTGAGTTCTCCTGTTAATACTTTGACTCTGTGAAGATTCGAAAGGGTCAACGATAACCTTCCCACAGGACAGCGATAAGAACACACAATGTGGATTTTCCGGAACCGTTTGCACCGACGATGGCTATCCTTGAGTCCAAACCAACATCAAAACTGACGTTTTTCAGAACGATTTTCTCAGGTGTATATCCAAACGTTACTTCCGACATCTGCAATAAAGGTGGCGATATCTTCTCCGTTTCTGGGAATCTGAGTTATGCATAATTAAGTAAGCAAAGGAAAGTAGAGGATCTGGATGTACTTGAAGTTTTCGGTTTCATCCTCTTCAGGCGGTTGAAGGTCAGGAAGCTACACATCCTCGAACTGTCAGAAAGATTCTTTCCATCTTCTGTCAAAGCATCACCTTTTCCAGAATCTTGATTTTAGATTGGGCCTGCGCAGCTGTAGAAGATTTCACGACATATTTTCATAGAGGAATCAAGATCACTGCTGACCCCGATTAGCATTGTATCTCCATCGATCAATAAACGCTTGCAGATGCTTTCGGTAATCCATCTGAGCATCATACTCCTTGCGCAGGTTTCGATCTCGTTCAGATTTGGTGGAATAGAATTGTGTGAAATTCCTGCAGAAGGATCATTTTCCGAATTCACTTCTAGCCGTTTATCCAGCATACCCTTTATAATAATCCAATCTGCCAGAATGCTGATGAACGATATCCGTGGCAACTGCATCGCTATGGAGCAGTGTCATTTGGTTAAGCCTTTCACAGTGGAATCGCACTTACAGAAAAGCACGATCGTGAGACCTACGTAAAGACATCGTCAACTCTTGAACGAGTTAAATTCAACCTCAGGACTTACACGACCAAAAGGGTTCCCTGCCATGTTTGAAGATAATCTTCCAACCATGCGAGAGCGTTCAGATCGACTAATCGAAATATCAGTAAAATGATAAATGGTCAGGATCAAAAGGAAGGAACACACTATGATTTGAAGGTTCATCGAGTAACAAGAGCGATGGCTTTGTTTGAGGGACGATCAGGATCTATACTCGACTATGTAGTAGAGATGCTCACCTTGACGAATAACGCGCGCGCCAGAGCTAGACGCATTCTTTGATTTCCATGAGGGTTTGCATCTCTAGTTTCAGATCTTCACCCACCGCCAACCACCACTGAACGATCTCGTGGGTCGCTTCTGATCAGCTTCATCAAATCCCAGACCTTCAACCAATCAGCGGTAGCACTGAAGATGTGCATTCAGAGGGCATACCGGCAAGCAGAGCTGCAGCTCTTGCTGGTCCACTCTCAGCGTCCATTTCCGACAGGCGCGAATGCACGTCGGCAAGCCTTGCCGAGGCTTCTTCTCTTGCATCTTCGAACCGTTTATCATCGCCCTCGCTTTCGAGCTCATTC